GGACATGTCTACTTGACATCCAAGTAGAGAGTCTGAGTAGGCAGATGGATATTTGTGTCTGGAGTTCAGGAGAGAGACTGGGCTGAATATATAAATATGGGAGAGATCAGTGTATAAATAGCACTTAAAGCCAAGAGACTGGATGAGATCACGGATGGAATGAATGTAGGAAAAGAGAAGAAGTGGTCAGAAGACTGAGCCTTGGGCACTTTAACCTTAATCGATCAGGAAGGTGAGGAAGAACCACAAAGGAGACTGAGAAAGAGCAACCAGGTAAGAGAGAAGAGTCGAGAGAGTCTGGTGTCCTGGAGGCTACCAATTCACCAAGTGAAGAAAGAGAAGCCAAGTGCAGAAAATGGACCAAGGAGGAGTGAGGGGTCACTTATGTCAAATGCTGCCTTCCAGTCCAGTGAGAAGAGGACTGAGAATTGACCCAACATGGTGGCCATTGGTTACTTCCTTAAGAGCAATTTTGGTGGAGCGGGAGATGAAAGCCTAACTGGAGAGAAAAGGAGGAAAGGAACTTGAAACTGCTAATATTGAGAAATATTTCAAAAAGTTCTGTGGTAAGGCAAGCAGAGAATTAGGGAAGTAGTTGGTGGGGCATACAGGGTCAAGAGTGGTTTCTTTTTAACATGACAGAAATTAAAGCATGTTGGAAATAATTAAGTTGGGGAAGAAAGTCAGTGATGCAGAAGAAAGAAGGGAGAATTGAAGAAGGCAAGAGGAGGCAGGGACCATACTTATGCAGTACCATTCTAAGGTGCCCCTAAAACAGAGGTGCACTTCCCGTGCGATACAATGTCTATTATTCCCTGAGGTTGACTAAACCAGTGCTTCTAAACTAGCTGAACAGGAGAACCACTAGGGGGAAGGGAAGACACATTTACTTTAGATGCGATTATTTTTTTTTTTTTTTTTTGAGACAGAGTCTCACTCTCTTGCCCGGGCCAGAGTGCGGTGGCGTCAGCCTAGCTCACAGCAACCTCCAACTCCTGGGCTCAAGCAATCCTTCTGCCTCAGCCTCCCGAGTAGCTGGGACTACAGGCATGTGCCACTATGCCTGGCTAATTTTTTCTATATATTTTTAGTTGTCCGATTAATTTCTTTCTATTTTTAGTAGAGACGGGGTCTCGTTCTTGCTCAGGCTGGTCTCGAACTCCTGAGCTCAAACAATCCGCCCGCCTTGGCCTCCCAGAGTGCTAGGATTACAGGCGTGAGCCACCGCGCCCGGCCTAGATGTGATTATTATCGTCACAAATGAGTAGTTGTAAAATTGCATTTTTTTTTTTACTAACAATTTAATGATGGTACAGAAATAATCACTCATTCATTCGACAACCATTTATTGGTCTACCATGTGCTGGTTCTAGGTGTTACCCTAGGTGCTAAGGATATATTAACAGCAGTGAGCAAAACAATCATATCTAAAACATTTTTATGAGTTACATTATTAAAATATCCATATGCATTTATTTATAACAAAATGTGTTTTGGAAACCCTTTTTGTGTGTTTTTGGACACACAATTGCTTTGAATTCTCTCTTTATGCTTTGTAAAAACCCTTGTTTCCCTAAGATTGATAGGTTTCGTTATTAGTGGTGTCCCCAAGGCCCGTTTTGGAGTAGGTATTTGCGGCACCATTATCTCCATTTGGGGCTCCATTATCTTCATTGCCAGGTTTCACCACAAGAGCCTTTTCAAGTACATTTAAGTGATCTTGGAATTTAGTCACTTTTAGATACATTAATGGCCTTTTAGGAACTGCTCTTAATTTCTGTTAGTCTTTTAAAGGTTACTTAAATGTTGTTATATCCTCTAACAAAATCATTAAACTATTTAATTTCTCTCCTTTCAGTTTATACAATACAAAGAATTCTACATGTGGGAAAGTTAGGAGTATAGAATTTCCAAGACTTCTTTTCGCTAAATTCGGACACCTGAATTTCCTACCATTTACTAAAGAACAGATTCCACCTTGCTGAACCTTTTAAAAGGTCAACTGCCACTTTGAGAGCATTAAGTTGTTTCGGTCTATTCTGTGGCCTTCTTTTCAAGGTTTGTTTCTCTGATTTCTCGGCAGTATACTTATTTCATGGGAAACATTCCTTTCAGAGAAGCACAAAACCTCTTCTGAACTCTTCCTCGATTCATGTCAGAGTTTGTCAGCTAGATTTCCCACTAGTTTAAAATTTTGTTTTAGTTTTAGATTTCCCATGATCTGTTATACTTTATTTTAGAATACATCCAAACATTTTTTTAAAAATCTGCTTGCAGTTCGTGAGGGGGGGTGGAGAGTGAGAGGGAGAGGGAGAGGGAGAAGGGGAGAGAGAGAGGGAGAGATGGAGAGACTTATTTCGTAACTTCTATGTTAGCCTTGCTTCTTCAGAGTGTACTGTTCAAAGGACTCGTACTTGTTCTCACATAGTTTCAAATATTGTTTACTGTTTGCAGATTGCATTTGTAAAGCACTTCAAGCTTACAATAATCTCCAAATATTTGTGTATTACAGAAGGGAAGAACTCCATTACATCATGTTCATTATTAGAGATCTAAAGTCTCATGGCCTAAAATTTTCCTCCTTGCAGCAATTATGCAGTAAAAAATCCTGTTATAACACGGCTAGTCTGTAACATGTTTCCCCCATGGCCTATAGCGTCTATTTGAGTCTATTTACTCCTCCTCCTCGCACAGAAGACTTCCTACTACTGCTTGGAGTGAGGAGTTCATGTGGGTGGGCCAAGATACGGAAGAACCGGGGAGAACTACGTGTGTGTCTACATGTATGAAAATGTTTATGCTCATGTCAATTAAATGCATTATGCGATTGAAGTGCTTTGCAAATCTAGGATCCAAGCTGTAAACAGGATGGCTAATGTTGACAGGACAAACACTGGAATGTTAACACAAATACAGTAACAAAGCCTAAAGAACACAAAGTTTTCGTAAAAGCAGCTGATGAAAATTTCCAAAATATACATTTACACATTTTTGTCCAAAGTAAGCATAAACAGATTAAAAGAAGTACAAAGTTAAGAGAAAATTAGAAAGTCTTTTAGAAAAACTGTGTAATGGAACTATAACATGAATATAGAGTTTCAAAGTGTATTTTAGATGAAGTTTTTTGATTCTCTAAAAAGAAGATTTTGCAGAAAATAAGCATATTGCCATAAAAGCAGAAAAATGAACTTTGAAAATAAGGTCACGGAAAAGATTTAAACAACTTCCATGGGTAGGTAAGTTACTTAACTCCTCTCTGCCTCAGTTTACTCCTATTATACCTGTGAGATAATGCACTTAGTGGACACAGAAAGCACTGTTAGCCATTGTGACTTTTTCTCCTCTTTGGCAAGTTAGGGAACAAGTAATATCACTTGTGTTTCCCATACCCTCAATTATGGGAAGACATTCCAAGACCTCTGAAAAGTTTCTTGGTATTAGGAGCTGCTCTGAAGAGTTGGACCAAAGAGAAGAAACTGGACCTATCACTTGAGTAAACAGAAGGTATTGACAGCTCTGGCCAAACTTAAGGGCTCCACCATGAAGAAGAGTGCTTCTGGTAACAGCGACTTTGGAACTTGAGTATGTTTTTCTCATTTTAGCGAAGTGGCAAAACAGCTGGGAATTATGCAATGAAATGACTTAGATGGCCAAGTGGTACTCACATCGGATGCCAATCTCATACCAGGGAAGCCTTTGCATGGTTGAGGGTTAGTAAAATCTTTCAGTACATCCCAGAGTGGGAGAATTCTGGCCACATTTATGAAGGCTGTAGCACAAGTTTAAAATAAACAGAGGAGGCAAAAATCACTTTTCTTTACGAATAAGGTTAGCGTTGGGCTTTTTTTGTTGTTTTTGTTATATTTTGGGTCAGCTTTTTTTTTTTTTGATCGCTTGTTTGCAGGGAGTTAAATACTGAAGAAAAGGCAGCCTGCACGTAGGCAAGGCTAGAGGTTTCAGCCAGTGGGCATCTCTTTCTGAACTCTTTCTACTCCGCTGGATCTTTTTCTGCGACAAAACCCCAATCCGCCACTTTCTATAGGTGAAGGCCTTGACTTCACTTTTTGTGCTTGCGCCACTAGCTAGAGGTTCCCTCCAGCCACACAGCAAGCAAAGGAAACTGTCAGGGCATTGAGAGAGGCACCACACGACGACAACAAACACTGCCAACGACTGAGTCCTTGCTCCGCGCCAGCCCCACCCCAGAGAAGACAGGCCGGAGCGGCTCGCCCCGGGCCAGGCGCGGACGCAGCTAAGCGGGGCCACCCGGAGCAGAGGCAAGTCTCGGGGCCCGCAGCGCCCGGGGCCCAACAGGAAGCTCCGCACTGGAACTTTCGCCAGTCGGCCGCCACATAAACAAGTTGGGCTCAAGACCGTCCAATGACTGCTCAGAGCAGCGAAACACCCTTTTGAGTCCTGGCAGCTTCCCGGGCTCGACTGAGTTTGACGCTCTAGGAGGGCCACCCGGAGCTGACGCTCCACTCGCCCCGGCCGCTGGCTGACCAGCCGCGTCACCCGGGCTGAGAATGTCACAAGAAGCAAATTCTCGCCCCTCCATTTGTCCCCGCGGCCTTCCCCTCCTAATTCGCAGCCTGGAAGCAGGTTTGGCGAAAGGCTTCGCCTAAAGGGTGTTTCCGCGCCCCGATTGCGCAAGCTCCGGGCGGCTGTCCCAGGAGACTGGGCTGCCCGGGCCGGGCTCCCGCATCTGCCGCCGCTCGCCACGCCGGAGTCCCGGGGAGCCCGGAATGCGTCCTAGCCACTCGCTGCAGAGAGTTAACAAAGTGGGGCCAGCCCTGCTCCGCTCCCCGCGCTGTGCCCTGCGCCCCTAGCAGCGCGTCCCCACCGCGCTCCCCCCGCCGCGGGGCCGCGACTCCACGCTCGTGCGGTCCGCCCAAATCGTGGCTCCGCCCGGCCCGCCGCGCCCCGCCGACTCGGCTCCCGCACTCCGGCCCCGCTCGGAGGGGACCCTCGGCCCCGCCCCACCAGGAGGTGCCCAGTACCGATGCCCTGGATGAAGACGAAGCCAGTGACCATGAGCACCGGGTGCCAGTTAAACTCGAGTTCGGTCCCGTCCCAGCCGAGCCCCCCACGGTAGTGGAGGACCCAGACGAGGGTGAAGATCACCGACAGGAAGCCCACGAGCAGCGCCGACACCAGCAGCACCAGGAAGCCCCTGTAGCCGTCCATGGCCATCAGAGCCCCATACCCCGCGCCGCGGCAGCCTCTGGGTAGTAGCCTGGCGGCGGGACCGGGGCGTCGACTTTTTGAAGCTGTCTCCGCCTGCGGGGAGGGGCTTCTCGGCCGCTGGCCCTGGATGTGGGGCCTCCTGGGGGTGGGCAGCTGGCCCCCGCTCAGAAACGGGCCCCACCCCCGGGATCACACGGCCGAGAGCTCTCCGTGCCAAGCTCGCAGAGGGCTTCAGTAACCGATCCGGTTGGTTGTTCAAAGAGAACTCGGAGGATTTCAAACCTACCACTGTCTTTGAACTCGTCCCGTCTCTCTTCCCTATTTGTGGGGTGCCTGAGGAGGACAGTGATGTGCGCTCTTGGTTAACAGAAGAGAGGGATCCCTTGGATGGGCTTTTGTGTGTGCGTTTAATTAATAAAGCCTCCTTAGCCGCAGAGCTAGAGGTTTGGCTGTCTCTGAGGGCAAGGAAGCGACAAGGAACCTGTAGGGTGGTGGTGGGGGCAACAGAGGGCTTGGCCTTATCTAGAAATGAGACTACTTGCAGTTTGCTGTGGAAAGAGGGAAGACAGGCACCTCCCGGCCCCAGGACTTGCCTATATAGCGTGATAAAATGGATTTTAAAGGTGCCCACCCACCCAAACCAATGTGAACTAAAGCCCCGCCTTGATGAAATGAAGCTCACCGCCTGCCCTTGTTCCAACATTATCCTTGTCTCCACCAGACAAAAACAGTGTCAGCGTTATCTATTGCTATCACAAAAAAGAATTCTAGAGTGCATTTGGGAAGGTAAACTTCTAGCCCTCCTCTGTAGCTCATCTACGAAGACTAGTTTACCGTATTGCCTTGTTGCCATCTTGAAAGACCTCAGAATATGAGGGTGATTTTCAAAAGAGGAGTTGTAGGCCAAGGAAGTAGGAGTGTCAAGTGCTGGTAGTGGGGCAGGATTAAGGGCTAAGAGTAAGAGGCTGCAGATTTCACCTGTGTCATTATTCTTCTGTTGGTGGGGAGAGTGAGCAAACAGAAAAGAAGGACCCCTTTCCCCAGTAGGAGCCTTTCTTTGATCTGGCCCCAGCTTCGCCCTCTACTCTAATCCCTTGCCACAGCCTGACTTGTCCTGGATGTCCGTGGTTGTGAACTACTCTAGCAGCCCCTGCCTCTAAATTTGCCTGAGCCTCCTCCACCAAGAAACCTGCCCTGAGTCTGCCCATGCCCCTGTTTCCAATCTCACCCACCTCCCCATCCAATGCCTCTCTAACTCAGTTATTAAGATGTGATATAATGACCCGTGGCTGTCTTTACTCTCCAGATTGCCCCCTGAAGGCATTAACTGTCCAACTTATCATTTTACATTTCCTTGGCATACAGTAGTTACTTGATAAACATTTGTTGGAAGATTAATGGGGCTGAGTATGTCAAACAGCATCCTGGCAGAAAACAGATGGCACATTCCAATTGGGTAATTTAATAATGAACAGGACTATTTATATATGAAGTTGTGGGCAGGATGTGGGAAACCACAGGCTGGTGCAGTGCCCCAGGCCTGAAGGGGAGAGGGTTACTGGAATGCAGAGAGAAAACTGTGTGGAGAGGGGAGTCTGACAGAGGTCTTGAGTGGAGGGATGCAGCCAGCCTGCAGGGGCCCCACAGGGAGAAGGACTGGGAAGAGGGGTGAACATCCCAACCTTACTCTTCTATCCTCTAATCTTCTGCCTGGGGTGCCCCAGTGGCCAATCAGAAGCTAATCAGAAGCCAGAGGGCAGTGGTGTGCTCCATTACAGGTCAGCTTCCCAGTACACACGGCAGAGCGGAGAAGGGTGAGAGGAGATCCATAGGACTAAATGGAAACCATCACTGAGTCTTCCAGTTTTATTTTTTCAGACTTTTTTGTTCCTGAGTGCTACAAACATTCCCTGTTTAATTTTATACCGTTTCTCTTCCTCTGCAACTGTTAGCTAGTAGTTCTGTAACAATGATGTCATCGTATCGCTCGCTATTCTTGTCCCTAAAATTATCTAGTCCTTGTCCCCAGTTAATTTCTTCACCCCCTTGACCCAACACCTTCACTCTACTCTCCAGCTGATTTTGCTTTGCAGCAACAGTAAATGAGAATCTCTGGGCTTCCAGATTCCATTGCACAAAACATCTCAGGAAGGTGAAAACATGGCCAGGGGTACAGATGGTGTTGAATCGTCTTGAAGTGACAAGTTAAACTGAAAAAATTTCAACTTTTAAGTTGTCCTTTAAGGACCTAACTTTGATAAAAACCTGTCACTTAGAAAAGGAGAATTTTTAATAAATACTGTTGTGGCTTAGTGTTAACTTTTAAAAAACATAGTTGTTCAACAATAGAAGTTTCCCTCAGGAGATGGCAAGCAGTTTGTCGCAGAAGTACCTAAGCAGACTCAATAACCTGCCAGCAATGCTCTCTAGGTGATTCCTGATGTGGTGAGTGCAGGGGGAGCACGGAACAAGATGGCCTTCCTAAACACCTGTGATTCTAGAAGCATGTTGATAGAATTTTTTTTGGCTTTTTTTTTTTTTTTTTTGGTCACTGACAGAAACGTAGAATGTAGAGTAAGGAGATAGGTAGTGAAGGGGTGGAGAGAGAAAATCCAACCCCATCGGGGGAGAGGAGGCACTGTGTGCCCTGCATGCTGTGTATCTCCTGAACTTCCGCGAGGTAATGCTGCATTTCTTCTGGTGCATATAGAAGTCCAGTGCTCTAATGCAAAGTAGCGGTAAGTTGTACATAGTGGCTTGCTGTGTAGGATAAGTGGACCATTTTTAAACTTTCAAATGTGTACTGTGTGCTGATTCCTCTCTGTTTGCTCCTTCACACTCCACCCTTTGCCTTGCCTCGTGCCCTGGGGGGCTGACATCTGCTGACTGTGTCATCTGGCTTTCCATGTCCTCTGGGTTTAGTGATGGGCGGTGCTGATAGGAGATTAGAAGGCAGGAAGAAAGGCACGTCAACCTGTTTATCGCCCTGTGCCCCCTAGTCTGGTCATGGTTTTGCAGTGGTTGCACTCCTCTTTGTCATGACTTTAAAGTGTCCCCTCTACTATAGCTATGGCTCTCACGGGGGTCCAGTGGTCTTCATCATACCTTGGTGAGTTCCCTGAAGCCTGCACCTCTGTAAACAGTCCATTTATTAAACTCACTTCAATTAAAACCTTTGTGCTGTTTCCTGCAGGACCCTGACAGATACAAGTGGAAAAATACTCTGACCTATTAGAGTTTCCCTAGCCGCACCCACTGTCCATGACTTCTTAGGACACATAATGAATGGAATATGTGAAGCAAGAGAAAATCAAAGGCAGGAGGAATGAGCTCACATAGTCCTTCCCTCCCTTCTGCTAGATAAGAGATTTGGGGATCAGAAAGCTGTCCCAGATGAGCAAGACAAAGCGATTCAGCTGCAACTGTGACTCATGATGCAAGCCAAAGCCCAGGAAGTGGTCCAAGTCTCCTTAATGAAATAAAAACAGGATTACTGTTTTGAAAAGAACACAACCAAACCCATGTTAACGGAAGGAACATGCTTTCCTCGCATGAGGCTATGCCTTCTTTGATGAGGGATTTTTCCTCACAGGGAACTAGAGAGATCAGCCCCTGTGCTCGCTGTGCTGCCAGCTCCCTAACTTGAGCCGCTCTTAGAATCCACCTGCCCCCAATGGGCAGGGCAGGGGCAAGGAAAGATTTCATTTGTATCTGGCCACAGCCAAGGAACCCCAGTTTGGGAAGAGGCAGAAAGTAACTCTCTTACTGAGGGAGCAGGGTAGGACTGGTAGGCAGACACAGGGTAAGAGGGAGGTGTCTGGGGAGAACAGGAGTGAGCAGAGCATCTTTGAGAGATGCTCAAGCAACAGGCCTAACTCCATAGAGCCTCTTCTTGCACCCTGGGGCAGGGGGAGGGGTAGGTTAGACTCAGGCCCCCTCTGCTCTTCCTTCTACACTATACTGCTTTGTAAGACTGCCTGACCCTCCATTTAGTTTTTTAAATACTTCCTTCATCATCCAGTGCAAGTTTGGTTTGGGGAAAACTGGTGAGGCAAGAAGCACTCAGGAAAGAGACTGGTAACTCCTCCTAATCATCTGGCAAGATAGAAAAAAAGGACCCTGTCCTGGCCCTTTCTCCCCAGCTCAACATTAGCAAGTGGAGTCGACTCTAGGTAGAGTCTGGCCTTTAATGCAGGCAGAAGAGAATTAGGATTAAATTCCTCGATTCCCCAATTCTCTTCTAACACCTTTACTCCATAGGTTAGCAGGAAATAACCACGTGAAGAAGAAAAGTACAGGGCTTGGCCACACCTAGGTTCTATTTATTTCAGAGCACCCCCTCCAATGCAAATGTATACACCCTAGGCTAAAATATAAGTTCTTTCAAGGATCTTCAGATTTTGGAACACAGATTTGGTCTATCTTATTTGCTGCTGCTCTTCCAGGGTCTATGAGCAGGTATAGTACAATACATAAACACAAAATGATTGCCATGAAGTAAGAAGTTTTTTTTTTTTTTGAGACAGAGTCTCACTCTGTTGCCTGGGTCAGAGTGCCGTGGCGTCAGCCTAGCTCACAGCAACCTCAAACTCCTGGGCTCAAGCAATCCTTCTGCCTCAGCCTCCCGAGTAGCTGGGACTATAGGCATGCGCCACCATGCCCTGCTAATTTTTTCTATATATATTTTTAGTTGTCCAGCTAATTTCTTTCTATTTTTTTTTAGTAGAGATGGGGTCTCGCTCTTGCTCAGGCTGGTCTTGAACTCCTGAGCTCAAACGATCCGCCCGCCTCGGCCTCCCAGAGTGCTAGGATTACAGGTGTGAGCCACCGTGCCCAGCCCAAGAAATTTTTTAATATAAATATTCACAGTCTCCGAGGAACAGGAGGCAAGGCATGCCATGCAGGGCCACACGAGGAAGTGAGATGAGTGGGCAGAAAGGGCAGGAGCCTTTATTATGGTTTCCAAGGGAAGGAATGGGCAAAGTAAGCAAGCAGAACAAACTTATGATTGGCTGGTTTGAATAATTTCAG